ACGACGATGAAATTAGTCTCCTCGAGGGCGATACAGCCAAACTAAGAACTTCCCATATGTCCTTTAGAAGCTTCGCTGACGAATTAGTGATCTACAGGAGTCGCAAAAGAACCGCTAATTTTGATACAATACATTACTGGGCGGTCAAACTCGATTAGAGCTCAAAACTGGCAACTATCTGACTGACCACCTTGGTACTCTTTTGAGTTGCTGCAATGGTTCATTGCGATAAATGCATCATGCACTAGGACAGGCACACCTTTGGTTATCAAATTACAACGCCGCGAACAAACAAATTCCTGACTGAATGGACAGATGAATATTGGAAAACATGAAGATTTTAGATATATGAAAATTCATATATTTGCACTGCGGTGGAGAGATGAAATTAAGAGATCCTCGCAGCTAAGAACACTACTGAAACGAGTAGTTGTAAATAGGACCTGAAAAAAATTCAGGCCCGTACGGGATTTGAACCCATGACCTCTGCGATACCGGTGCAGCACTCTACCAATTGAGCTAACAAGCCAACTGGGAGCTGGTCAATGAATTGGGTCTAAATAAACATCCAAGTGAATGAAGATTTTAGATATATGAAAATTCATATATTTGCACTGCGGTGGAGAGATGAAATTAAGAGATCCTCGCAGCTAAGAACACTACTGAAACGAGTAGTTGTAAATAGGACCTGAAAAAAATTCAGGCCTTCACATTTATTGTATCTGCATGTGTTATCAGTTGCCACGAATACATAATTGCAGTTAAGTTTCTTGAAAAATTACATATTGTGCATCAAATTTGTAGTCTTTTAGGACATAAAGAGAGTCTCGTGAGACGAAGTACTATTATCACAATGGAAAAACGAAATGGAATGCACTTTTGGGTTTAATGGCATAATCATTTATAATCATATGCCAAGACAATTGCCATATTAAAGACAAAGACAAGACAATTTGAAATTCCTTTCGTAACCCGCAAAACTTCCCCAAAACCACTAATCATCATTAAAAATATCAAAATGGAAAGATGAATCAAGGAAAAACGAGAATTTTTTAGAATGAAGAGGATCGACACTGACTGTAAAGGACTAACCCTTGACTTAGCTTATGAGTAGTCGGAGTAGCTGAAAATATGCGATGTGTATTGCGTAAATGGACGCCACGGCCACGGGACAAATATTTCAAATATCAAAATTTTTCGACACGCTTTCGTTTTTCATTATTCCCGGAATTTTTTGGCGAAATTTGAGGAAAATCTGTCACATCTGTATACCCCATAAATTCGCTTGAAGTAGTTGTATTCCTCCCAAAATCGAATCGGAGATTTTAGCTGACATAGGTTCGCAAACAACTCGCGCCACGCTAGGAGATTATCTCGCAAACCTTTAGGACAACGGAACCTCCTGGTGTCAATGACGATAGACCAAATTTTCCTGGAAAAGTAACCCATTTCAGACATGTTCTAAGGAGAGAAACAACGAATCGACGCACAGCTTTCAAAATTACGATTCGAGGCGATTGTTTGGACCGGTTTTTGTTTTTTTGTTTTGTTTTGTTTTTATTTATTTTGTTTTTTTTATATCAGACTTTCCTCCGCGTTTGATTTTTCTATGAGCAAAGATTTTTCCATAAACAAAGAGTTTCCACGAGTGAATTTTGTAAAATGCGCGATGTAAACAAAATATGTAAATAACATGAAAATCGAGCCCCGACATGAGCGGTTGCCGTGAAAATTACCCCAGGGGATTCGCCCAGGTTCGAGATCATGACACCCTCCTGATTTATTAACTTTCATTTCAAAATAAGTTTTTCTAAATAACTCGGATGCTTTTAAAGATTTCAGAAATTTTTTTATGGAAACGTTAGGTCAAAAGGTTTGAATTCAGTTTAGTCAAGTAAAAGAAAAATTAAATTTTTTCGGCCTCTGAAAGTGAGAAATAACCTTAAGTTTTGCGTGACAGTATTGGATTGTATGAAAATTCTTCTAGCCAATCAACGTAAAGGAGTTGACACACCTCCAAAACGCTCTTTCAGCAAAATCATTTTTGAATACATATAAATAGCGCGTCGTCTAACAATGTGGTCTTTTGTTATCCTGGCTAATATTTTAAATTGCTATGGCGCAGTTCAAACTCCTGTTTTCATGGTTGATGATTTTGCAAACGACAAAGCTTTGATCGAGAAGGGGCTTTACAGTTACCACAACACTTAAAAACTCGATCGAAACCTTTGAAAGAAGGTTAGTAACGAGAACTAGCTTAAACTTGTGAATTGTTTCAGAGAAAATTATATCTTGTGTTAAATTTTCGACGGACACCTGACTGAAACTAATATTTAGACCATCTGCTTTTGTGTAGAAAAACTCAGTTCCTTTTTCGTGACGTGCTTTTTTCGACCCTCGTGTTGCATTACGCAACTCCTCTCTACGATTTGAATTACATAACTCTTTGATCGTACTTAGATAACGGGGCAAAATTTCCGCACAGCCTCACACTACATTATGCATTCAGTTCTTGGAGAGAGAGAAAACAACGCCAAAAACAATACATTGCCTTTGGGAAAACAGATTTGTTTTACAATTGTATGTGGCTCTGCCAAGAGTCATAAGTATGGCGATATAGAGTTCAAGCATCTTTTGTTTGAGTTTTGCAACCGTTTGTTCCGCCGAACATACTGGACACAGGGCAATCTAACGCAATCTTTCGCAACTATGGCCAAATTTCCGGCCCGTTGTTGCATAAGTTCACGGATTATTTTTAAGAAGATAAGAAAGGCTGTCTAATAAATAATCTTTTTTAAAAAGTCAGTTACAATTTGACAACATAACATCATTTCGGTATTAAATCACTGATTGATATAAAATTCCTATTTCTGGCGAAGAGATTCTAATGTTTCTGTTACATTCATGAGTGCGGTACCTCAAAATATGAACAAACTCTGCTCCATCTGCGGAATTATTCGCCAAAGACAACGAGGTTATTATCAACAGAACAAAACAACTGACCAATGAGTGGAGGTAAAGTGTGAACAATCACCAAGAATTGTTTTGTTCATATTCAAGTTATATAGTTCTTGGTGAGTTAAATTCATTTTCTTGGTATGTATTGTTATAAAGAATAATTATGACTTATAAAACTTGTCTGTTAGAGAGTGTATATCAGCTCTAAGTTCCAAAAGAAATTCAGACGTTTAGAAAGTTGTGTTCTTTAGACGACGTAGTCTTTTTTTTCTTGGTGTCGTCCATAACAACAAATTTTGATAAAGCTGAATATTAAAGTTTACTTATTCACTTCAGTACTGTAAACAGCGTTTACGTGAGCTATCGCTCTAGTGAATTTTCCGGTTCGATAACGACGTCATTTGATTTGATAATAGGATCCGTCGGAAACTTTCGAGGAACTGTCAAGAAAAGATCTTCGCAAACGCACAATTACACTGTAAGGGCCTGTGCAAATGTGTGTGGTTCAGTTAAAGAGACGAATTGGGCCTTCGTTATGTTCACACGAGGTAAATTTTATCGCCAAGGCCGGTAACTTGAAAGACCGATTCATACCTAAAATTTCCTGCTTGTGGTTGTCGCGCGAATGCAGATAAATCGGTATTTAGATATTCTCGGTATTTATATGATTCGGAAATGTTTTCGTCAGAATGGATGTTTCTGTAAAATTTATTTTGAACATTCCAATGGTTATTTTATCTGGACTGAAAGCCTCTCTCAAGAAAAATGTTGTTAACTAAGTATCTTCCAGGGTTAATTTTGTGCAGAGGCGTCTCGCCAGATCTTTAAAAACGTTTGTACTATTTCGCCCCCATAATCGCGCTTATTTCATCACCTTTAACGTACTTAGAGAGAACATCTTAGAGTTTGATTTAGGAAAATTTGCGTGCACTACACATATAACATAATCGCCTAATCCCACACCTGAAGAAAGACGTGTTACCAAGGAAGCGCCTGGTCTAGGAATCGTAAACCCTGTTCAACTGATCCGAGACCAAAAAGATAAATTCCACTTCAGGCTAAATTTGTGGGTTAGTTGCAAGCGACCGAACTCGTAATACAATACTTTCACGCTTCGTGTAATCAGTTTTGTATGCTTAACCCAGCTTTTGAACAATTCAGAGTAGCTGAGTGATTGGAACAATAATATCAGTCGTCTAAATTTATCTTGAATGATGCGTACGTCTGATTCGTTTATTAATTCTTGTTGGTTTGTTTTGGTTTGAATGGGATGATTCTTACCAAATCACAAATCTGACAAATTCATCTAACCAATCAATCGTTTTACAAATACGTCACTGTATTTCGTATACAATGCTATTTTCTGATGTTTCAATTATTTAAAGCAGGTCATTGTTATTTGTTAGTGAATACTCCGAAACCAAATATATTCGCACGTAATTAAGAAAAGTTTACTTCATACTTGTGGCTTTGTGAGAAATTTCGAGACTTTTATATGATTCAAACCCCTTTTCTCGTTTAAAATGATAGTTTTACATTCAGATCGTTGGTAAGCCGGAGTACAATTACGGACCTCAGAAACAAAGAAATCATCTCTGGCTACCAGGTACGATACAAAAGAGATTTAAATAATTTTCATTTTGAAGGAAGTTTATCTTCAAGCCTTCTGCGAGGAGGAAATGATTGCTAAGGGAAAATATAGAGCAATACCAATGGTAATCGATTCTCCTACGGTCCATATGAAGCCGACTGTCGCTTTGCGATTCTGCACTCCAGAATTTTTAAAATCTAACCCAGCACCAGCGAAGAATGGTATTGTTTAGAAATTCTCGGAAAGGAAATTTGTTTTAAGTTACGCAGTGTATAGTGTATATCGTGCAGGACGAAAGATCGCGATCCCCATCAAAGTGGTGTAGAATTATTCGCTCGCAAAGGACATAGAAGGCACTGATTTTATATCTTAACTATTATATCTTTCAAAGTTAACTGATTTTTTTTTTCTTTCCTAAGATTAAAATAGTTCAGTATTTTCGCTGCGGTTGATGGACCCGATATCCAGCAGTCAAAGGATGACAATAATTCCAACAAAATCGAAAATATTTTCGCTGATGGAAGTTTCGTTTCACACTGACATGTCTTCGTGTTGGATTGTAATTCACGATAAAGTGTATGATGTGACCAATTTTTTGGACGAGGTAAGTTAAATGATTATTTGGTAAGGATGGAATAAAAATTAGCGTTACGACTAGGCTTCAAATGGAGTGGGCTTGGATTGATTTATGTTTTATGTACCTTTGGCCAAATGGTATCCGAGTTCGTTCTTAACGAAATCTTATTCCGGCCAGAGTAAAAACATGCAGATTGACACCTACCGATGAACACCCTTATTAAGAGGATCTTTCAAAGAGGGGGGTGGAGGAATGAAGCTACTGTAAATTGGTAGACAGTTACAGCTCAAGTGATGTGCCCATATCACAGCTGTTTGGACTCTTAAGTTTGTAACGGCCTGATTACATGGTAATAACAATAACCAACTTTGGTTGGCGAGAGTAAAACGTAAGAGTGTAGATGTTGAGCTTGAGGCCCTGCATGGCTGTATGACTGCAAGGATTTAGATAAAAGATACATCATGTACATGATCCGAGCAGGCTCCGGAAGCCAATCCATGGCTGTATTTTAATTAACGGTCGTGAAAAGCTTAATTTTGTCTACGAGATATTAACCATCAACCCTACATCAGTATCCATATTCTCCGTGCTGTTCTCTGTATATTTCCTAAGCTGCTAACAAAGAGAATTTGTTGAACAATAAAGAGCTCATCCAGTTGGTAATCATTTTTTTATGCTCGTGCTCTGAATGTTTGATTCAGGGGTGATATTGTAAGGAGGAATTAGATGCTAAATACTTTCATGTGTTAAAGGCTTAATACTGTTGAAATTTAGATAATAGAATTAAGATGTAACATAATTCGATGGTTTGAGCTTCGGGCACATAAGGAAATTCAAAAATGAGTCTCAGCTGACTCACTAAACGCGACTGATTACGTCTCGTTAACCAGGCTAGAAATTGTTTTTTCCATTAACGCGATGTAGCTTGAAATGTTGCGATTTATTGACCTCGATGACCGTGGTAATACTTCCCATATGGAGAGACAAAAATTCGTCTTGCGACCACAGACCAGTTTGGTAATCAAACTGTATCATTTCACACTAAAAGTAAGCTTTTCGATAAATCTGACCTACATACATCCTTGGATATAAACTTAATTATCTTTCTTTGAGCTTGGTAATTTATTTTCGGTCTTCTTCAGCATCCAGGCGGAAGGGAGATCATTCTAGAACACGCAGGTGAGTTGGTAGAAAATCAAAGCAAACAGCTGCTTAAGCTGCAATATTCTGCGGAATTAAGATGTGTTAAGTCCATAGTTTGCCTTTTCAAGCCGGAAATTGTCACCATTTAGCAAGAACGGCAAAATCTCTTTGAAATCTTTGAAGTTTACATGATGTGAAACCGGGATGAAAACGATCTTTAGAAAGTGGTTATTTTTTGGATAGCATATCGATGAGGCTCAAAAAACCAACAAAACTTTATTCGGTAGTTGTAAATTCGTTCTTTGCGTGTTCAGACTAGTCTGACTCAGGACAGTTGTTATATTACGCCACATGGAAGGGAACTGAACTATCGCCAGCCTTTGCCTGTTCATTCCAGGTATGGATGCTACAACTGTATTCCAAGACATAGGCCACTCGTTTGAAGCTCTAAAGATTCTCTCTAAATATCAAATTGGAGAACTAAGAGAGGTTAGTGTATAGTTTGAAGTAAAATTTTTCGGTTAGACACCTAACGGCATGCTGATTAATTAGCGCCTGACTGCAGGTCGAGGGGTCCTGGTTCGAAACCTGGCCCAGTCATCGTGTCGTATTCTTGGGCCTAGCACTAAATTCCTCCGCTGTATCTTTCCTACTAGCAGTTTAAGAAATTGGAAGCGAACTTTCACGAAACTTGACAACATTGTTGGGGTGGGGGTAATTTGCTACGGAGTAACATCCCATTCAGGAAGGGGAGCAACGCTCTTAATCACTTCACACCTCAATGATCGAGGTAACCTCTGTTACCTTACGGAGCACTTCTTTAAAGTGCTGAGTTAACCTATATGTTGTAATGCATCAACCCATCGGCGCTTTTTCTTCCCCTAACGCATAAAGTTGATGTAAAACCGATTTCTGGTAGCAAGAAACAGCACCTTTCGTATGGCGTTCTCTCAGTGATCAGAGACAACGATCAGTAATTGGATGTTCTCTAGACCCAAAGGATTTACTTCGTTTAGTGTTAATCATTAGAAATCCCTATTTCTTTATGTCCTTTTCTGACATTTATAGGTATTTGGACTCCCTAGAAGCTGCAAGAACTGAATCTCGCTCACCGAATTTTACCAAGAAACCTGACGTGTTGCAACCGGTGTTCTTGCTATGGTTTCGATCGTCTCAAAAGCGAAAATGGGCGCGAAACCAAAAGAGTACCCTCTTGGCTAGGTGTCCAAGGCTAGGCAGCTGTCCTGTTTTTGTTACAGTGTCACTCATTAGTATTGTATTGTGAAAACTATAATCTTCTTGTTTCTTTCAGAAAGACAAAATCTACAATTCCAAGCCCAGACTATGACGATCAAAGGTAACGTACAATAAGTTTCATCAAGACTAAGTTATTTCGCTCAATGTAATTCAATTAAAAGTTAATTTTCCAAATCACTCATCGCAAATCTTTAGTCAATGAATTCTCTGCATCGTCAAAATTAATTCTTAAAAGAAAACGTTCTCCGTCGCGTTGAGCTCGTCATTGATTGAAGTAATCTGAGGGGTGTTCGGTTGTCTTATGCTGTCTTAAGTTGTCTGGCTTGGTGAATCTGTGCACAAACTAAGCCAGCTATTGCTGTTGCTGTACTATGCTTAATAGCAAAATATTAAGTCAACAAACTGCGGGTGAAAACTTCATTGTTGTTAAACGCCGTTTTCTTGTCAGATGTCCTCCTTGGTATGGATACAAATCTAGTGTGCGGATATTTGGTTTCCCTTTAACCAGTGGCTGAAGAACAAGGCACCAAGTTCTTCCACACCGAATTTAAAGTTGCAGCTGTTAAAGGAGCACAAGAAAGAACTGCAGAAATAAAATCAAAGACTCACAAGTCTTCTTGGTAGCCTTCGTTTAACATGAAGGAAACGCAGCATCGATTCTGGGAATAAAAGGTTGTCCCTGAGCGCTAAAAATGATCATATCTTGGTATCTCCGTGCTTAAGCACTTTGCAAGTGAAAACGAAAACATAATCGGAGAGCCGTATAGCAAATGTAATTTAAAACGCTTCTGTTAAAATGATAAGTCTTTTCTAACTGACCCGCCCCCCAAAAAAGGAAGTTAATTCTGTCCTTTATACTACTTGCTTATTCTTCTGCCGTTTTTGGTTTTTCCCTATCACACTTGTTAAGTTAGACAGTATTTTGGAGTTACATGTAGATAGCTCTGACCACTTGTGTTACATGTATAATTATAAGCCGTCCATCAGGCGAATGTAATCAAATTGTCTTCAAGTTGATTTCAAAATTAAAATTGAAATTGTCTCATCTTGTGGATTCGCCTCGACCTAAAGCCGGTTACAAATACTACATCTTCGATTCATAGCTCAAGAGTAGTTCAATGATTGTGAGTTTCCCTTGTTTCTTTTCTGATAATCAGAAGGTGCATTAGCAGCAAAAACAGGGCGGAAACACTTGAGCTATTGACTGAGGCAATTAATAATTGTTTTTAAAGGCATACCTCTTTCTTTAGTGTACGCTCAATAGTGTTTAATTGCGAATGTCGATCTACGAAGATATTCCGAAATAAAAAATTAGAAAGATCGGCTCAAAATCAGGTAAAGTTTGGCTTTTGATTGTTACTTACCATCACTCACCCATTCACTCACTCACTCACTCATTTAGATACCACATGTAGCCTCGCCTCCTACAGGAGGTAGTAGCCTCAGAAATGAGAAGGTAAGGTGCGCATTACGATTAGATGAAGGAAAAAATTGAAAGAAGAATAGAATGACGCTGCTGGCATGACTGAACAAGATCACGTGTCTCATAGGATTCCGGCCAGCTTACAAATGTTGTATAGTTACACCGGTGAAGATAGAAGGCCTATGCAATACAGAATCAAGGAATACAATCGTAATATTACACCTTAGCCTGCACCCTCGTCCTGAACTCAGGCAAAGTAAAGTATATTGATTGACACCTACATAACTATACCCAGGAATAACATGAACTCTGTAAACTCAGAAAAAAGAGCGGGTAACTAATCACAGTAAATTCAGGAGAGCCTCATACTACACAAAGCGATGTGCAAGAAGTCGCCTCGTCATCAGAAGAGGGTAAAGCTTACGACAAATGACAATGACGGGTTTAAAGTTAATACACTTCACCAGCATGAAAAACATTTTTTTTACATTAATTGGAGATGTGAACGCAGAGCCTTAGTGCTCATTCGTCAACTTGACAGGAGGGACAGCGTATAAGATCCCATTTGGACATACCTCGCTGGAACCGACAAAAAGGGCTAACATCCCTATCACGGAGATCATTGCCAAGTTCGAGCTGTCACAAACCTCGAAGCCGAAAACAAAGGCACTGGCAAAAGGAACTGATTATTTCATAAAGCAAACAAGTAAAACCCCCCTTTAAACAATCTAATATCACGATGAAAATGCCAGCTGCGTAACAAAGACCTAATACACCGTCACAACAACCGGAGAGGCGTGCCTCAACGGATCTCCGAGGGAAAATTAAAGCAAAAGGACAAGGGTGCAATTGTACCGATAACAGGAGTTGGACATCAACCAATCATAGCAGCACATCACTCCTCAGGGTCAAGAGTGACCAGCTGCACTCATCACCAGAGAAAGACCACCAGAATACAGTCGCAATGTCATCTTCTGCATAGGTTGTGACTATATCGTAGCACAACAGGAGACACTTTCAAAATGTCGTAGAGAAACACACGTAAACCTGGCACATTAGCCAAACCGAGTTTTAGTGGTCGAAAAGTAATCGCTCAGAAACCAATGTTCAACTCACCACATTTTATTACCTTGCACTGTACATTCTAAGGCCTACCACGCTGGAAGCTATTTATCGAAGTTTCATCACATCAAGTTCAAAGTGCGAAAGAGGCATAGTGATTATTGTCGTAAGAAAGTTGGAACTTATCAAGGCAACTTGGAAAACCAAAATGATTATGCAGATGACATTTTGGCCATCACTGTTAAATTGGAGTTATGCACGTATAAAACATTTGATTCTCAGGAGAAAAGGACACTTAAAGTGTTACCGCTCTCCAGTCCTGGACCTATCTGCGCTAAAAATTGTTTCCACGAAGACCATGCTTGTTGCTTTATCATTTGAAAACTATCCTGGTTTACCATGACGAACGTAGGGCATTTGGACTAAGGTAAACATAACAGAAGCACGACAAGTGCAGCAGCCTGTGTAGAGACTAATTCAAATTTTTCGGGGGGGAAAAGTTTTCGAAGAGTTTCTTTCGTCCTTGTGAGGACAAATAATCCAAAAATCTTGATAATGATGGGGAAGTCATCTTCAGATGGAGAGGAAAGAGTCTCGTAATCATAATTAGTACTTAATGCTGTTGAAGAAATAGATCAGTTTCAATCTCTCCTAGCTGCAGCATTTGAAAAGTCCTCCAGTTTTTCAAAACGTAGCTTCTTCGTTAAATCACTTGGATAAGGCGCTGAACCTATTGTGCCCAAGTGTCATCCACCAGTCTGACGCCTCTGCGCCGTTCTCCTCGTCTCCCTCATCATCACGATCACCATCATCATGGTCATTGTCATCAACTTTTTCACCCCACTCGTGTGAAAGCGGTCTCCAATCGATATCAAAGTCTGAGCCATCAGGTAGCACAGCTGCATTCTCCGATAAATCTTCAAGAACTTTATCAGATACTTGATCCATTATCAGACCCCTCTCTTTCCAGATCTCGCCACTACTGTTTAGGTATGGGCCAAGATCCCAGATGTGCTCTTTATGGCTGACATTTTCCTTGCAAAACTTCCAGTTCTCGCTTGTACACATGGTGCGAACAAATTGTAGAGTTTCTCCTATCCAACCATATGCAAAATTACAGCGTTCGATGACGTGGGTTTCCTCTATGGAGTTGTGTCGTGTACATTCTTTTGACTTTAGATTTCCTAGAAAAAAAGCTCCATGATGGAGTTTTCCATCTGAACCTACGTTTTTGGGGAAAAACTCTCTCCTCTCGCTACCCTTGGTTCCCATTACCGATTTCCATTTAGCTCGTTCCAGTTCAGTTTGGCTTCCTGCTGCCGAAGAATGTTTATGCTTTGACTTTTCCTTTGACGAAGCGAACGCTGACATACTCGAGCCTGAGCTTCGTCTTGCTTTAGGCAAATAAGAACTGGCAGGGACAGATGATGAGCTAATGTGATGTGGTAAGTCTGAGACGTCTGTGCCCCATTCCGAAACATCATCGGATCTTGCTCTGTCATGTCTTCGAGTTCGTGAACCTGGAGGGAAGTAAGCCCGCTCACTTTGGATGGCACGTGTGTTTTCTTCAGGTAAACCTGATGAGGTTTTGTTCGTTTTTTTGCCAGCACCAGAGTAACGAGAGGGAAGGCTCCATTTGTCTTTGTCGTTAAAACTTTTCAGTTAATAGACGGGATGTTGTCATGGGCGTGGTACTCTTCATTTGTTTTTTCAAAGAAGTGTATGTGTCCTTGTCCACTGGATCATATGTATAGGGCCCAGCGAGTGTGAAACCAACGTAAAACCAGAGATCGTCCTTGCTTTCGTTGGGATAGAGTGTGTTATCAAAGTGTGTGTTATCATTTTTAAAAAAAGTTACGATTTGACAACGTAACATCCTTTCGGTATCAAATCAATGATTGATATAAAATTCCTATTTCTGGTAAAGAGATACTAAGTTTTCTGTTAAAATTCATGAGTGCGGTACCTCAAAATATGTATAAGCTCTGCTCCATCTGCGGAATGATTCGCTAAAGACAATGAAGCTATTATCAACAGGACAAAACAACTGACCAGTTGAGGTAAAGTGTGAACAATCACCAAGAATTGTTTTGTTCCAATTCAAGTTATATTATTCTTAGTGAGTTAAATTCATTCAATTTCTATGTATTGTTGTACAGAATAATTATGACTCATAAAACTTGTCTGTTAGAGAGTGTATGTCAGCTCTAAGTTCAAAAAGAAATTCAGACGATTAGAGAGTTGTGTTCCTTAGACAACGACGTAGTAAAGGCCTGTACAAATGTGTGTGGCTCAGTTAGAGAGACGAATTGGGCTTTTGTGATGTTCATGCGAGGTAAATTTTATCGCTAAGGCGCGGTAACTTGAAAGAGCGATTCATACATGTGGGCAAAATTTCCTGTTTGTGGCTGTCGCGCGAATGCAGATAAATCGGTATTTAGATATTCTCGGTATTTATACAATTCTCGTGTACGTTCTCGTCAAAAGGGAAGTTTTTCTAAAATTCATTTTGAACATTTGCAATGGTTATCTCATCTAGACTGAAAGCGTTTCCTCAAGAAACATGTTATTAACTAAACATCTTCCGAGGGAAATTTTGTGCAAAGGCGCCTCGCCAGATCTTTAAAGCTTTTGTACCATGTCGCCCGCATAACCCCGCTTACTTCGCCGCCTTTAACTTATTTAGAGAGAACATCTCAGAGTTTGATTTAGGAAGATTACTTGTACAACACATATAAACATAATCGCCTAAGCCCACACCTGAAGAAAGACGTGTTGGTCAGGGAAATGCCTGATCTAGGAGACTAAATAATGAAATCGTAAACCCTGTTAATTCAACTGACACGAGAACAAAAAGATAAATTGCACTTCAGGCTAAATTTGTGGGGTAGTTGCAAGCGACCGAACTCTTAATACAATACTTTCACGCTCCGCTGTATAATCAATCAGTTTTGCACGCTTAACCCAGCCTTTGAACAATTCACAGTAGCTGAGTGATTGGAACAATAAATTCAGTCGTCTAAATTTATCTTGAATGATGGCTGATTCTTTTATTATTTCTTGTTGGTTTGTTTTCGTTTAAATGGGATGACTCTTACCAAATCACAAATCTGACAAATTCATCCGACCAATCAATCGTTTTACAAATACATCATTGTATTTAGTACATGATGCTATTTTCTGATGTTTCAATTATTTAAAGCAGGTCATTGCTATTTTTCATTTATTTTTGTGAGAGTGAATACTCCGAAACCAAATATAGCCGCACGTAATTAAGAAAAGTCTAGAAAAGTTTCCTTCATATTTGTGGCTTTATGAGAAATTTCGAGATTTTTTTACAGTTCAAACCCCCTTTCTCGTTTAAAATGCTAGTTTTACTTTCAGATCGTTGATAAGCCGGAGTACAATTGAGGCCCTCAGAGACAAAGAATAATCTGTGGTCGCCAGGTACGATACAAAAGAGTTTTAAAATTTTCATTTTGAAGGAAGTTTACCTTCAAGCCTTCTGCAAGGAGGAAATGATTGTAAAGTGTAATTGGTGAAGAAGCTTATAGTGCAAGTGAGATAATTTCCGACTAATTACATTGTACTGAGACTTGCAACTCAAGCAGATGTAGATAATATATGAATGTTTTAAGGAAAAATATAGAGCAATACTAATGGAAATAAGTTATAAAGGACACCTATCCGATTCTCATAAGGTCTTTATGAAGCCGACCATCAATTCTTCACTCCAGAATGTTTTTTTAAAATTTCTAACTCAGCTCCAGTGAATAATGATGAAGTTTAACCATCCTCGAAAAGGACACGTTTTAAGCTGCGCAGTGTATGTCAGTCGCGTAGGATGAAGATCGCGATCGCCATCAAAGCCCATGTAGAATTAGTCACTCGCAGAGGAAATAGAAGGCATTGATTTTAGATCTTGATAAATATATCTCTCAACGTTACCTGATTTTTTTTCTTTCCTTTAGGTTAACAAAGTTCAGTATTTTCGCTGTGGTTGATGGACCCGATATCCAGCGGTCAAAGGATGACAGTAATTCCAACAAAATCAAAAATATTTTCGCTGATGGAAGTTTCCTTTCACACTGACATGTCTTCGTGTTGGATTGTAATTCACGACAAAGTGTATGATGTTACCAATTTTTTGGACGAGGTAAGTTAAATGATTATTCTGTAAGGATGGAATAATTTAGTGTTTTGTACAAGATTGTTCTTACGAGGCTTCTAATGCAGTGGGCTTCAAATGATTCAAGTTTCTTATTTTTTAAGTCAAATAGCATCTCTTGATCAGCAGGGATTTGCTAAAGCAAAGGCATAGAAAAAACCAGGAAAGATTTATTACTCGACGTTTCGGGGTCATCGTGACTCCATTATCAAGAGACTAGTTTAAAAACATGCAAATAAGGAAAGGTACAAGAATAGCATAAATTAGAATGAACGGCTTAAACAAACACCTTGGCGCGGATGGAATCCGTTTGCACGTTCAGTGTTGGCTTACGCATGCGAATATACAACATTTCATTAACAAGGCAATCAAATTTGCCGTTACATTTCGCGATGACGTTGAATTGCTCGATCAAGCGTTCAGGCATTTCACTATTGTGCTGGAGGTGGTAGTGTTTGTAGATAGAAGATGATTTCCTTGTGTGCCCTTCTACGCGCTCGTGTAAGTGACCACGAGTATAGCCCACATACCCTAACACAGGTTACATTTAAATTCATAAACGATACATTGTTGGTTAACAATAGGGGGCTTAATTTCGTGTTGCTTAAGCTGTTGATCGAGCTTAGGGCTAACGAACACTGGTTGGACAGTCACGCTTAACTTCGAGCTTAGACTGTTCAGTTGTTGTTTAACATGATTAGCTGACGACTACCCTTCAAGGACCAGTCGTCAGCTAATCATGTTAAACAACAACTGAACAGTCTAAGCTCGAAGTTAAGCGTGACTCACCCATTCCACAAAAAGTGGGCCCAATAGCCATTTTCAATGTCTTTGTTTTGCGGAGGCCACAAGAAAAGTTATAGCCGTACATTTTTAGTGCCCAGGTAGAGTAGACATGGTAAGTTCAAAGCCCCAAATGCAAAGTCGTATGTATCTTATACCATTTTTTTGCATTTGGAGCTCAAAACCCCCTAAAAGTACTTTTTTTCAGTGTCCACGATGGAACGGTAGAACAAACATCTTGATTATAAACCTCTGAATGATCCCCGGGTAAACATTCGATATGTGTAAACCGTCCAATAGTAAATGAACTTAAAATAAATTTTGATGTTTCATAGTGCACTGCATTAGTCCGATTTTAGTAGTCACAGAATTGATGTCCACAAATTCTTTGTAACTTCCGTTACCGAAATAAGAAAAGTAATTTAACTGCGTTAGAAATCCCTGTATAATCTCTTCTTACCGTCAATTACTTATTGTTTCATCGCAGTTTCAATATTTTAAGTCATCACCTCCTTTTCTACAAGTGGCAATGATAGACTTCCCTTTGAATGAGGCCGAAGAGCACCGTATGGTTAAGAATGTAACTTCCGTTACCAGTGTTTAGCGAAAACAAAAGTTCCTTTGCTTCAAAATGTTCTGTGCAAGTACGAAGGTACCTACAATCAGTAAGCTCACAGACTTATATTAACTGGCTTGTGTCTTGGAAAGAAGTGGAGGCACAAAAGATCTCAAACTGTAACTTCCGTTACTGTAACTTCCGTTACCATTTATTTTGGAATATCTTAAATACGCGTCCTTTGGTTGAGTTGCACTTTGGAACATCATCTGGCTGTCTAAAGTCGCGGCAAAATAAACATGACTGACATTATTGACATTCCAGTGTTACGCAACAACCCCTCCGTTGCCGTATTGCGACACATTCGCCAAGACCGAAGCGTTTGTTACAAATTTCTCAATTTTTCATTGTCAGTCGTTCATCGAAATTGACAAAATCCAAAGGTGAGTAGTATCAATATGATGTACATACAAAATTTATTTGCATTGACGTTTTCTTTTGGCTAAAAGCCTCGTTTTCTGTCAGACAGTAAAAATGTAACGGAAGTTACAAAAACTGGAAGTGGCTTGTTAGGGCCTTAAAACGGGTTTTGGAGTCACAAGAATGAAAATTTTGAACATCAGAGTAGAATATATCGTAAAAATAATCATATCTAAATGTTTAAGCTGTAGGCGTTTAGAGATATTTATGAATAAACCAATTTTAAACGGCGTATTTAAATAATAAAACTGAATCGTTGCGTGACATAATTGGACCTACTCTTCACAATCAGCTTCAGGTGGCCAACTAGCCCAGATGAAATATGGGTGGACTTTGACAAGATTCTGGGAGTCATTGAAGAGCCCTCGTCTCGTGGAAGGTCAAATCGCCACTTCCATTTTAATGATCAGACAATCCAAATGATCACAGATCTATTTGATGGCTGGCTATCAACCAATCAGTAATTTGTAACTACCGTTACTGGTAGTCAATCAATTAAACAGATAGCTTTTTAAGTATTAGTCATGTTTTTCTTTTAAAACTATTTTGATTCATGTATTCATATCGTCAATGAAAGGTTTTTTTAACAAGAAAGGGTTTTACGTACTGTGTTGACATAAAATATTTGTTTGATATGCAAATGTCGTAATTTAGAAGATTTAATGATGTAATTTTTTTTAGAAGATTGTTTAATTGTAACGTTTATTGAAAGGAAGGCGATTAGTTTTATGTTTTCCTTCGTGAAAATTCGTGCCATATGGCAGCTAAGGTATTAAACAAGTTTCAGGTCATAGCTTACTCATTTGTAACTTCCGTTACTTTTTTTGTAACTTCCGTTACCAAGCTTATGATTAAAATTTCAAGAAAAGGTCTATACGTACGTCCTAACAGACTTGAAGAATATAATGGCATGGTCTTAGCTTCTGTAAAAGAACGTAGTTGTTCTTTCTTCTTCCTCTGAAGAAGAATATAGTATAATTATAAAAAAACTTATTTTAAAAAGAAACAATTTCAGACGGTTTAAATTATTTTTAGATCTCTATATTTTCTTCTTTGTAGGAGCAGAGCACTTTAATAGTATGATTTTTATTTACATGTTGCCCTGTATTAAGTATATACTACGTTGATTTTGAATAACTTAAAAACGAGAACTTAAAAAAGTGGAAAATTATTTTAAAGATCGGTGATTTTTTTGCCTAAAGTGATTTTCAAGTAAGTACAATAAAATGTTTCATAACTACGGAAATATATGACCTTTGGTGCTAATTTTTGAGGTATTTACTCTTCGATATTTGCGCTTTAAATTGAATGATTCGCCACGTACTTTCTGTGAAACTGATTTTTTTCGATTTTCCAAGTGACATTGGGCCCACTTTTTGTGGAATGGGTGGACTGTCCAACCAGTGTTCGTTAGCCCTAAGCTCGATCAACAGCTTAAGCAACACGAAATTAAGCCCCCTATTGTTAACCAACAATGTATCGTTTATGAATTTAAATGTAACCTGTGTGATGCAGGGTATGTGGGCTATACTCGTGGTCACTTACACGAGCGCGTAGAAGGGCACACAAGGAAATCATCTTCTATCTACAAACACTACCACCTCCAGCACAATAGTGAAATGCCTGAACGCTTGATCGAGCAATTCAACGTCATCGCGAAATGTAACGGCAAATTTGATTGCCTTGTTAATGAAATGTTGTATATTCGCATGCGTAAGCCAACACTGAACGTGCAAACGGATTCCATCCGCGCCAAGGTGTTTGTTTAAGCCGTTCATTCTAATTTATGCTATTCTTGTACCTTTCCTTATTTGCATGTTTTTAAACTAGTCTCTTGATAATGGAGTCACGATGACCCCGAAACGTCGAGTAATAAATAGCATCTCGAACCCGTTTTATGCGGTGTTTTATTCAGGCCGGTATAAAGATATACAGTCGGTATCTGCCTTAATGGGACCTTTCAAAGATGGGAGGGGGGGAGGCATCAGCCTGATTACATAGTAATAACAATAACTAACTTTATTTAGTTAGGGTAAAACTCAGTAGTCCAGGAGAAAATGAACATAATTCAAGTTCCGCGAGAATTTCTTGCTGAAAGCAAGCCAGATATGTTAAGGGGACCCTAAATAAACAGAAAAAAAAAATTATTACCACTTTTGTAAACTGCTCCAACACCTTTTAAGGGGAAGCTTTAGAAATGCTCCTACAGATCTTGCATAAAAACGAAGTTACTACATAAACATCCCGTAACTTCGAATATTAAGGGGAAAATAGCACCAAACAAATAAATCTATGTTCTCGTCGCGTTGATTTCATAAAAACATATGTAGTAACTGAGTCACAAGATTAGTCACGTGACGGAATGGGTATGGAAGTGAGGCTTGTTTACTAAAATTTCTTTTCACCTTCCTACAATGTGTAAATTGCTTTGTCCTACCTTATAAACAGCATACACGTTTCTTTTAGCTCAAACGGTCCCTTATGATAAAATGTGCTGTTCACGTGACTTTCAAAAACATGATGCGAGGCTGTGATATTTTGCTTTGCTTGAGATTTCAATTGTACAAAAGAAAAACTCACTTTTACTACCAACATGATTATTAAAGGCAATATTTCTCAGAAGTACACTGGTTGTTGCACTCCAGAGAGCCGCAGGCATTCGAGATTAAATCCAATAAATCTTTTGGCGACTTGATACTGGCAGTGTACTTCTGCGAAACCTAATAATTCCAAATGCCAGAATCATATTTATCACCATCTTCTTCCACATTACTCTCGTCATCATCACTTGAATCGACGTCTCCACATTTTGGCACGTCTCTCCACTATCTAAACTCCCACATAGATCTGTGCAGTTCAGCCCATTCTTTATACACTGGAAGCGGTTTGTGGGGCATCTTTCCTAAGCACACTTGCACTTAACAAGACGAATGAGAGCTTGAGGTGCTGAAGGGACTTTCTTCATCATAAGAACTCAATGGTCTCTATCCCAAATCCGAACAAATTTCTCTAGTGATGACAGGGTGGGATTTGCTACCACATCATCTTAAGATTGTTTGTTGAAAGGCAACCTGAGTCGGGGGCAGCCTGTCCGACTTGGCTTGTTCCTTCCTAAAAAGACACCATTCCTGTTCTGTCACAGAGCACATCTCTGTCTTCAGGCGATAAAGCTGATACACAGACTTCTTGATTGAACCTGCACCTACAAGCTCAGAAGGACCAATGATCATTTCTTCGTCAACTTTCATGAAAGCTCTCCAGCTTGTGGCTTTCCCTTTTCCCGAAAAACAGCCAGTAATATCTGCTTAGCTCAAAGTGTGAAAGGCTGGGAGGATGACTGCCATTTCTGGGTCTAAGGCGCGAAAACTTGGCCGAAGAATAATTTCTCGTTGGCTGCCTGTACCGGTGATAAAAAGGGTGTTCTTGCAAAGACGTGCATAATGTCCGAGAGCCAAGATGAAAACATCTGTGTCAGGAGAACATCGTATTGACCTTCATGCTACAGCTACTCGTTTTTCCATTGTGCAGGTCAAACTCGATGGTCTCCTGTGCTAGATAGTTTGCCAGCACCATCTTGGTCTTAGTGTATTAAAGAAGCCTCTTCATATGTGTTGAAGCAGTGATATACACCGGATTCTACCTTATTGCCTCTTCGTCCAATATCTCCTTCTTTAGAGTAGATGGCAGATCTTATCTGTAAAAATTCAACCGGATTTCTTTATTTTTGCGGAACGTCTCGAAAATAAAACTAACGAAGTGATCTGTTAGATGCAAAAATTTTTTGATCCATTCGGGTTTGTTCAATCATTGAACCTGAGATATGGCTTCCACCACAGCGACACTCATTTGTACTGCTGTGCTCTGGTTGACAGCTGTGCTATTTTCTTCATTTAGGTTCATGGTAGTTTCTTTAAAATATCGAGGGGGTTGGAGGATTTTGGCCGTTTGGCCTTCGGTGCTATTTTGGTGCTACTTTTGCACATAAATACGAAGTTGTAGCATTTTTTGTGTGGTAGCCTCGTTTACATGCAGGGTCTGCGGAGGCATTTCTAAAAGATCCTTTTAAAAGCGTTGTAGCAGGTTGCAAAAGTGGCAACATGACTTTCCTGGTTATTTGGGGTCCCCTGAACATATGTGGTGCAGTGGCTTGCCTTCAGCGAGAAATTCCCAAATGCTGCCACACAGTGTAGATGGTGAGCTGTCTGACCAAAATTATTGAAATAAAAATTATTAAAACTAATTAAAACAGAAATTAGAACACACATACATAAGTCGGAGCATGCCCATCTAAGGCCAATCCGGGGCTCGACGGTAGTTAACGGTCCTGAAAAGCTGAGTTTTGTCTGCAAGGTATTAATACTTTTGAAACTGAAACTATAAAACTATAACGTAACATAGTTCACTGGTTTGGGCTTTGGGCACGTAAACAAATTGGAAAATGGGTCTCAGCTGACTCGCTATACGCGACTGATGACTTCTCGTTAACCAAGCTGGAAATTTTTTCCCATTGACGTGATGTAGCTTGAAATGTTGCGACCTCTTTATCTCGATGAACGAGGCCATACTTCTCCTACGTATAGAAAACAATCTTGCAACCACAGACCAGTTTGGTTATCGCGTTCTATATATTTTACGGTAAAAGCACACTTGTGAGCAAATCTAACCCACATATATGTAAGATTAATTCTCTTTCTTCAGTTGAGCTTGTTCATTTATTTTTCGGTCTTCTTCAGCATCCAGGAGGAAGAGAAATCATTTTAGAACACGCAGGTGAGTTGAGATCTAAAGAAAAATGCGGCTTAAGTTGTTCATTGAGAAGATTTTCACCATTTAGCACAAACGGCAAAGTATCTGTGAACTTAGAGTGAATTAATACTGGGGTAAAAACAACCCTGTCCTTCCTTCTGAGAAGGGCGTCCTTTTTTTGAGAACATATCAATATACGGTAGTGATTCGATCTAGCGCTCGGGAAGCTCATTTACTTTTAGCAACTTCTAGTTTTTTTTCGAGAAACAGCAGATCGAGAATGTGCGAAAAAAGGCTCTGAAGTATATTTCAAGAAATCAAGAAGACCAGAAAACAGACTTGGATCACATATTGCAAAAACGACCAGCCAAGCAATCGTCACAAAATTTTAAAACGAGATCATTCGTGCGAAGAAACTGTGCACTCACATGGACATAGTAGTTGAGAGACTGAGACAAAGACCTCCGTTTTTGTAATGAGGCTTCAAGTGAGTAATTGAATGAAGATAAGCCACGGTTGATCTCATAGCATGACAGGAAGGAAAACGCGTGGACTGTAAGTACCTCCCGTTGTCCCATACAAAGCCTTCGAAAACTTTTCTAAGGCTTTGTATGGAACAACGGGAGGTACTTACAGTGCATGCATTATCCGTCCTGTCATGACATGTAATCTACTAGTGCTATCACTGAAACAGAATAGGGAGCGGTTATCGGAATGACATCACTTACTCAGTAGGGCCGCTCATAAGAATAGGACGCTTGCTGCCAAAGACAAAATTCGAGGGTGGCGCTTATTAGAACGAGATCACTAAATCCAATCATTGCGGTAGCTCATAAAGTCAACAAAGCTTTAGTTTTTTATTGTAAATTCGCCATCTGCGTGTTCCATAAATAAAATTTGTCTAACTCGGTACAGATATTAAATCACTCAGCAAGGAAAAACTTGAACTAAAGCCGGCCTTACTTTTAGGTATGGATGCTACAACTGTGTTCCAAGACATAAGCCATTCGTTTGAAGCTCAAAAGATTTTCTCTAGATATCAAATTGGAGAACTAAGAGAGGTTAGTTTGCAGTTTGAAGTCAAATTTACTAGCGAGAGACGTAGTAGCTTTGTGACTCTTCACGCTCTTAACTGGGGGTGCGGATTTGAGATCTGGCTGCGGAGTTAATGCGTTGAGTTCTTAGGCCTTGCGCTAAATTAACTCAGAGTCTCTCTCTTAATGGGAGTTTAAAAGTATTCCAGTTAACTGGCAAAATCATGGGGGTGGGGTAATCTGCGATGGAGAAATATCCTTTCGGCAAAGAGAGGAGCAATGCTCCTAGTCGCTTCACGCTACGGTAATTGGGAAAAGCTCTGCAATCTTATGGACCACATAATCAGAGTGCTGACTTCATCTAATGTTGTAAGACAATCTTAGATTTTACTTTGCCCACCGCATAATTATGAAGTTAAACTGGGATTAAAATGGCTAGAAACAATACCTAATATGTCTAATTTTCACGGTGTTCAGAAACAAAGTTGTACCAGTGGGTCTTTTCTACACCCGAAGGATGTCCTTCTATTTATGTCAACCTTTGGAAATCCTATTCTGACAAGGAAAGACGTATTAATCCCCTTTTAGCCGCGAGAACTGAATGTCGCCCACTGAATGTTACCGAGAAACTTGATACGATGTGACCGGTGTCCATAGTGTGGTGTCGATCGTCTCAACTGCAAAAATGGACGCAAAACCAGAAAATGATCCCTCTTGGCGATAAAAATGGTGTCTAAGACTATAAAGTTGTCCTGTTTTTGTTAAATTGTTGGTACATTGCGAAAACTTATACGGTCTTGTTTCTCAGTTTTATAAAGACAAAATCTACAACTACAAGCCTAGACTTTGAGGATCGAAGGTAACGTTTCATAAGTTTGTCTTAATAAGTTATTGCACATCGCTCTTCGCAATTCTCTGATAAACGATCTCTATTACGTCATTAACGATAGTGCTACAAATAAAACTTTCAACGTTGCGTAACGTTTACTTGATCGACGTGATCTCTGACCGTTGTTATATGTTATCTGGCTGGGTACATCTGTGCGTAAGCAAGGTACAAAACCCAGTTAAGAAGTTAGTAATTTTACTGCTTTTAAACATTTTTTTACCAGATGTCCTCCTTGGTACCATCAATTAGGGCAAGATACAACATCAAGCGTGCAGATATTTGGTTTTCTGTTAACCACACAATTTTAGGTGGTAGCTGTGAAAAAAACACCAGAGAGTAAAGTGCAGGAATTTAAATAGAAATTCACAAGAGTTTTACGAAGGAGACACCGCTTCGCCCTTGAGCTACAATTCTGCCACTTACCACTGAGAAATTAAACATTCATTGGTCACCTAGGAAGTTCTTATATGGGCGTTTCCCTTTGTAGCAAGAGTATTTATAAGAGAAATACCTTATCAGAAAGCCGTAGAGCAAATGTGTTTTAAAACTCTTCTGTTTTGGTCAATATCATAGTTCTTTTCCAATTGACCAGAAAAAAACACTGCGGCTAACTTCGTTTTTTCATGGGTGTGTGTGTGTTTCTATTGAATATCTATCGAATCAACGGACTACTTGCAAAATTATTTGCTGTATATGGTTTTTGCCATATCAAGCTAGTCTATTTTGTTCGTAGATTGGCTGTTTGTGTTTCATGTATAATTATAAGCCGTCCAACAGACGTTTACAGTCAGTTTGTCTTTGGTTGAAATCAAACTGGAAATTGTCTCACCTTATGTTACACTTTGTGGGTTCACCTTAACGTAAAGGTGATTAAAAGTACTACATCTTCGATCCGTAGCTTTGGCCTAAGGTCACCATTCAAAACTTGTGAGTTTCCCTTGTTTCTTTCATGATACTCAGCGGGCGCAATAGCAGCAAAAATGGCTTCTACGGCGGTTACTGGGCAGAATAAGTCTTTTGACGGAAACTGTTTGAAGTTTTTCATGGATATATATTACCATACAGCTTTGGAGATTCATAAGATTAGATGTGTGGCTGAGCAACGACAATTTTCCCAAAATTGAAATCAAGCTTTTGATTAGGCTTTTATGAGTGCAACTTCTCAAATAAAAAGTATAAATTATCCACCTCAATTACAATCGCTACCGACTACTTGAGAAGCCCAGTAAGGTGCGCATAGAAGAAAAATTTAGATAAGCAGACCTTGACTGAAGCATGACTGAACAAGATCACGTGTCTCACAGGATTCCGGCCCACGAATGTTGCATAGTTACACCAATAAGAGTGGATGGTCTATGCAATACAGAACATAATCGAGAATTACACTCTAGTCCGCGCGCACGTCCTGAACTATGGCAAAGTAACGTATATCGATCGACACCTGCATAACTACACACCCAAGACCAACATGGAATGACACGTTGTATTGTGTTTGTAAAGAGGTTCTAATCCATTATAATAGAGGGTCATTATACCATGCCGTTGTAGCTTCATTGCCAAACGCTTATGTGGCACACTATCAAAAGCCCTAGGGATTCCTAGCTATTGCGTTCTAACATGTAAGTGATTGTGATAACGAAGATTTGCCTCCAAGATATACATGCACCAGTCCATCGATAATAAATGTGAACTGTTAATGTGAAACCACTGAATTTCCACTGTACACGTTACTGCTTAAATTTAACTATGCGTTATTCTTTAATATTGTTCTGCTTCAGATAATTACAGTTAAATCGTTTCATGATTTCTTCACAAGTACCAATTGCTGTTAGTAATGAGCAGGACTTCGTGTCGTCCAATTTGGTCTGTAATCATACGATTGATTTACAAAATTGGGCGACAGCGAGGTGGGAGTCCGATTTGTTAGTCACAAGTGTTTGTCCCTATGGTTTTTGTAATTAGTTCTTTGGTGGTGGATTTAGGGTAGACTTAGTATGATTGGCTGCTTTAACTGTCCGATTACAGGTGTCTGATTACAGCCAACTGTCCGATTACAACTGTACAGAATGATTAGTGAAAAATAAAGAAGCTAATGCACTACTCACATTTGAGGAAATTTTATCGGTTATAAATAAAGGGGGTGGTGCTCCGTCGGTGGGAGAGTATAACAGGGTAATTTGGTATTATCAATTGATTTTTATAGAAATTGATTTTTATAGAAATTACTAGTTGTCGTAAAAAAGAATACCCGTTGTGTTTTAGACTAAACTATGTTGCTTTTCAGTTTTATTGATTCGTATATCAGTTTCTTTTCTGCAGATTTGATTCAATGAACTATGTCACTTTGTGTTATGTCAAGTCGCTTGCCGTAAAATTCCAAATACACAAACAATTTAAAAACTCGTCTGTCAAAGTTGAAGTTTTTGTCAATTTTCAGCTGTAATTAAACTCAATAGATTATAAATAATCTCTAGTCAAACTTCCTTAGGACGCTCTAATCTAATAAAATCGAGTGATTCACGACTAAGTGGGTGACGTTCTCATGCGCGGATTTTGCGACGAAAATTCAGCTATTATTGGGTCTCAAGTGCATCAAGGCTATGCCAGTCAACAGTGAAGTGTTTTAGAAGCCAGCCAGCTATACAAGCTTTGTCACATTTCTTGACCGTTCTCAAATGGTACTGGCAAATCAACAAGTTCTCTAAGCTAGCTCGCAGATAGAAAGGATGGGTGAAATTCTTGGATTTTTGTTGTAGTTCTTCGTGCTTACATGGAACAGACCGCCAAAGGTCTGCTTATCTCTCGATATAAAGAGTTTTCTCTGCTCGACATGAAGCTAGTGAATGGAATGAGACGGGCTGTGACAGATCCTTAACTGTGGCTTTAGCCTTTAAATGCTAAAAAAATGGCTTCCTTCGATTGGTTGATGTCAACGCACACTAGAAGCAGATGTATTCTTCTTTTGGTCGCCGTCTGCGTCTCTATAAACTTTTTTGATTCACTTACCTTCCGAACACAGCCATTCCAAAAGTCTGTATTTCGCTGAAGATGTGAACCGATGCTTACTGAGAAAACTCTCTTAGGATACGGTGTAAATGAACAGGACTTCTTAACTTCCATGGATATTAGTCTTTTCCCTCTTCTTAAGACATCTGAAAACTGCCGCGTTATCTCTCCCTGTGTCGCCTATGAAATGACTTTTACAGATTTTCAGATGAAAAAATTTGAACGCATTTGAAAGAAAATAGGTTTCTTTACTTTCAAATGACTTTGTAAAGTAAAATATTTGTAACATTTGAACATTAGAAAAGAATTTGTATATATAGGTGAAATTGGTAGAGAGCTGGAAACCCGATTCAAAAAACACCGGGAGTATAGCGGGCTTGACTGCCGTTGGAGAGCATATCAACAAACATCGTGACCACGAATTTTCCTCCGGCAACGTTACTGTCTTTTCGCAAATCGTTCCACCCTTCGCATTGTTCTCACGAAATATTTCATCCCCTGAATGGACCCGTTTAACTTGCTAGATCCCTTAATTTTTCTTCTTTACATTCCATTCGCTAATTTCCACACCTTGAGAGGCAACTTATCAGGACTCCTCACCTCTTCACTGTCAAAGTGCTACACCAAGTCCCAACGATATTATTATATTTAGAAATAAATTCTTGGGAAAAGCAGAGGTAGTTGTAATCTTCTTTTTGAATAAAAAGAAAAAGAAAACGTGCACCCTTTGCTAACACCATTCGAAACTTTGAGATATACAGTTGATCTCTAATTAAAGTTTGTTATTCTTATGAAATTCTGGCCCCCTATAAAAACGTACATGGCTGAAGATACTTTTCACTCGACCATCACCTGACAGAAAGTGTTTATTCAAGATTACTTGAAATTTTAGTTTCTTGGAGTCTCCTTCCAACTTCATCAGCCATTCGGTTGTGTCGTGCAGTTTTTTGCGATCTTTTGGCGTAATAAGACGTTAGTAAATGGCAATTTGGCTGAGAAATAATGCCAAATTCGGCCTAAGTCATAAAAACACTTTGACTTACGAAACAAAGCTTTTTGTTCAATCTGAGTTTATCTCAGCGCCTTGGTATGGACCAATGATGTCAGAATCTCTGTGGCTAAGAGGACTTATTGACCAGGGCAGCAGGACTGTAAAGATGAAGACAGGTGGTCAAGTCTTTTGCTCAGAGGGAACAGGGAAAAGAAGAAATACAGCCAGACGCGGTACATCAGCGAACCGAATAGTATTGCATTTGTTCTGGATAGGATGACATAAAGTTATCACAATAACGTGAATTTGAAGGTGCCTGTATAAACAGCTCAGTTGAGGATTGCCTGTGCTTTCCCTTCGGTCTTTGACTATGATTTCAGTAGACAAATTCTCATCACTGCGATTGGGAGCAATTGTTCGTTCGACATGTCGCAGGGGGAAAGTGCAGGAATTTAGAATCCATGCAGACTGAGCCAATTTTACTTTAGGAGCAAGATTCTTCCCAGATCTTACCATCCTCGTTAAGATAGGGGCCTAGGTCCCATATATATTGCTTATGTTCCTTTCTTTGTCGGCAAACTTTCTTCTCATCCTGCGTGCACCTGGTACATATAAACTGGCGAGTATCCCCCCGCCACGAATGAGCAAACGTACAACGATCGATATCGTGAAGCTGGGAATTAGGGTTTGTATGAGTGTCGCACTCCTTGGACTTAAACGCTCCAAGAACCAACACCCCATGATGAAGCCTTCCTTTGTCATCAATTCCCTTTGGCTGAAATTTGTGCTTCTTTTGACCCTGTATCCCCACGACAGTGCTAAGTTTGCTGACTGTTTGGGACACAGATGGCGCAGCCACGGGTGGATTATTTTGACACCTTGCTGATTCCTTTCCTCCTTTATCTACCCCGTATTTAACGGCGGTTGCATACGAAGGTGAGGCTGTTTCGGCGGACACCATCTGAAATTCTGTGACTACAACTTCCGGAAGCGTCGCAGGAGAGGCTTCTGATTTTGCGCAAGAGGGCATGTTACTAAGCACAACACGAGGCTCTTCCTTCATCAAGACTGAATTTCTCCGTACACCGCCCTCAAAGTCAGTCGTTTTGTCGCCATCTTGATTAACGGTAAAAGAAACACTGTTACAATTGGCGTTTGATCCTCCTACCGCCATCTCATTCATCTGCTTCTTCTCCTCCGGGTTTCCATTTATAGTAGAATAAGTGTCTTCGTCTATTGGATCGAATGCATAAGGACCAGTCACGGAAAATCCAACGTAAAACCATAGGTTGTCCCTGCTTGGCTTGGGGTAGAGCATATCGTCAAAGCGAAGCTTTATTCCATGATAAATAATGATGCCCTTTGCTTCTTTTTGACCTCTTACACGCAAGAGTACGTCGGAGACTTCTTTGCTTCTCCAGAAGTGAGTCTTAGTCTTCGACTTTTTCTCAAGAGTAGGGAACCTTTGACTACTTACAATGGCGGAAAGGCCCTTTCCCTTTCCAAGGAAGTATTCAGCCCCCGAATGTCGAACTTTCCAATTTGTTCTCTCTTGAGCAATCCGACGACATTCTTTAACAGAAGCCAATGTTTTAGAATCATACGGTGCCAAACTACCATTCGGTATGGGGAAATGGATCATGCAATTGAACAGGTGTGCCCACTGTGAGCCTGGAAACCTCTGTACCCAGTTTTGAACAACATCATCGAGCTCTTTCACTGGTGGTTTTTCTTCACTTCGTAGTCGAAGGCAGGCCCTCGAGAAAATCACCATGTCATCGTGATTCCCATGATCCTTTAAGCATACTGGCTTAAGAAGACGATAAATCGACGAAACTACTTCATCATCAAGGTTAGACCACCCACTATACGATGTCTCACGTCGCTTAAAAAGAGTATCTTGCACTATCTGAGGAAGGAGGTCAGGTGCGTCTTTCAGGACTGGCGACAACGGCAATTCAACATCAACTAGCTCGCTCCTGTCAAATCCAGTAATCTCGTAGAACTGTCGCCGCAACTTGCAAGCTCTTATTCTCGCACTGCTTATACCACTCATTTCATTTTCATCATACGAAGTTAACTGCCGGTATTTGACATCTCCAAAGAGTTTGTTCAGTAGGTCTAGCGTTGTTCGACTGAGACTCTGGACGTAGTTGTGGTCTTCCGGTAAGAGTACTTCTTTCATCTCTTCAGGAATCTCTCCATTCTCTAAATAACTTGAAAAAAGGCTACTGTCGAGAAAAAAGCATGGTAAGCCCTTCACAATTTTTAACAGCAATACGATCACTTGAATTTTCCCGATCATTGAGTAGTAGTTGAGGGACAGCATCATTTTGATTGCTTGATCATACACTTCCAGCGCTTTACGGCAAATATGAATGACATCGGGAAGGTGAGACATAGGATTAACACCATCTTGATCGTTGTAATCTCTCAGCTGTAAAACGTAGAGAACGCCTTTTGTCGTATAATGATGACTGTAGCTTGGTTGCTGGTTAATAGCAATATCCACAGCATTGTGCGCTGCTTCGATGCCAGTGTTAGGTCTAGGTAATCTGATGTCTCCCACTTTACTTTCTTCCATGACACTGTAAAGGCGCTCATGCAAGGTATCGGTTCTTTCAAGTTCTTCAGACCGCATCTCGTAGCCCATGAATCTTGCCAGCTGTTGCCAGGCGTACGCTTTATACTCAGTTTGGTTGGCCTTCTGGCAAGTCGCAATGAGAAATTCTAATGTTCTGCGATTGCCATCACCTTGTCCCTGTATGTCTAATATCAAGGGGGAGTACCTTGTGCGAACTTCATAAAACCCGAAGAGATCAGTTTCAATATCTGAACCAATGATGTCGTCATCTGTTCCTCCTTTTTGCGAAAGGTAAACTGGTTCGGAAATTCTCTTCCGACTTAAGAAAATCTGAAAGAGCTGCTGTCTCAAAAATTTGTTCACATAGGCCATTCCTCCCTCTGCGTTTTCCAAAAGTAGAAGAGCTATGACTTCAACATTCATTCTTGACTTCACAACTTCGCTTACTAGGTAATGTGCGGGTTGCCATCCGCTATACCCATGGGTCTCGTCGAATCCTTCTAGGAGAAGTCCTCCAAACAGGTCATGAATGAGATCTTTTCTTTGATGCTCTTCCTCACCATTGTTGCTCTCTTTGATAAGCAAGTCAACCACAAGGGGATGGGGCAAGATATAGCGACTGCTACTGTAGAAGTGAAGAAAGCAGCAGAAGTTGAGGAGCTTTTCGTGTATTGAATGGGAACTTCCCAGGATAGCCAAAGTACTACTGATATGATTCTGGAGCCGTTCCTCTATCTTGACGTAGTCTCTTCCAAAAAGCTCCAACCCAAACCAAATAAATCGCTTTTCTCGCTCAAGGACCTCTTCGCCTTTCTTCCTCTTTTCAGTATCTTTTGTGATATTAATCAAGATGTTCTTCACAAGCTGCGTTTCTGTCTCATCCAGTTGTTTCAGGGGCGTGATGTCAAAATATAAATCAGTGCCTGACTTTTCAATGGGAACTGTGGAGAGTATGACACATTTTGTCTCCATTGAGGTTAGACCCTTCGACAAACGTTGAGTGTCGATCTGAGGAAAATTGTCGATAAGTACCAGAGCCGGAGGTGCATAATTAGATTTCATCTTTTCGTAACCTTTACTTTGAAGTTCTCTGATTTGAAACTCGGTACTAGCTGTGATAGCCTTGACAACTGCACAACGGAAAACCTTCCGCTTCTTCCACAAAATTCTCCGACACAGAGTTGTTGCACCAGATCCCGGTTCGTAGGGGACAGTCACAGTCTTGACGTAGCAACTACGATCACCTCTTGCTTCACTGAGGGACTTTAGGGCTTGGTCAATCTTTCGAGTTATTTCCTCCTCTAGGGTCCTCTCAATGCTGTGGTCATAGAACAGGTTTACTTGGTTACACTGTCCACCTTTGTAGAAGGCATCTCTCACTTTTTCGATGTCCTGAGTCAAACGAGGCAGTCGATCCTGAGGCTCGGGATAGTACACTTCAAGATCAACCCAGGAGTTGATAACTTTGTTGAGAATGTCTTTAAGGCCAGTGATATGGGGAAGCTTTGTGGTAGCACCTCTTTCTTGGAACTCAAGAGGCCCCACCATCCCTTTAACAATTTCTTTTAGTAGATCCCATGATATTCCGGTGATGGAACATTCTCTAAGTTGTTTTCTTACCAGAGGTGACCTTGAAGCCTTGATAAAAGCATCAGCAACCAGTTTGTTTTCGCTTATAATGGTGACAGATTTGCTAGCAATCTCCTCACCAAGTATGCTGAAGCAGCTTTCTGCGATATCCGACATTTCGAGAACGGCATTTTCTGCAAATCCAAGAAAAACAAAAATCAGTCGTCCAGAGGGAAAGCTCTGCTTGTAGGCAGTTAGGGTTCGGTACAAGCAGTCTTTTGAACATGTGATCCAGTCTTCCTCTTCCATTCTATCTGGCTGTTTTAAAATCCACGTGGTCCATCTCAACGAAAGGGGACAATCCCTGTCACCAATGGAACTTGGGGACACATCCTTAAAGTCGTGGAGGGTCTTGACGTTTGCACGCGCGCCGTCGCCCACTTCGTTGCAAGAGAAGTATAAGCCATCTTTTTTTGAGGCAGCATCGAACAGATCGAATACGGCCACCCAAGGAATGTTTTGCAAAAAGGATAACTTTGAAGTCCCTCTGTACTCTGGAGGCAGCTTGTTGGCAACAAGAATGTAGTGATACTCTTGAAAGTTAAGGTCACGTAAACGCTCTCTGACTATCGTGCTGAACTTCTGGAGGTCACCGTCATTAGTGATCAGACCTGAAATCGTTTATTGCGGTATTTTTTTCTCATCTTTATTTTTTTATTCATTTAATAAAATTCTCTTTTTTTGGGGGGGGGGGCTGATACAATATCAACTTAAGGGGGTACATGGTCTTATAAGCAATTTTCGAAATTGACGGATGTTCACAGAAATAAGTATGGGGACCCAAAAAACTGATTTCAAAGGTAAAAAGCGCAAGTGACAAGAATTTTTGATTCATTCTTTTTAGCGATTGAAGTAAATTACATTTACAAACTAGGGAACGTGCAATGAAACTTTTGAGTCTACAGTGCACAAACAATGGCACTTTTGCACTTTGTGCGCTGTATCCTGCAATAATGAGTCATGCAGTTCCTAAGTTCGAAAACGAACAAAGCATACTTTTGCAAGACTACTTTTAACTGAGTCTCAAAGTGGCAGATTTAAAATCATTTATGCACGAAACAAAATGTTACTGCAAGTTTTTATGCGCAGCAACTTACCATCAGAAGTTAAACCACTGACTCCTGAAAGGAAAAGAATAAAACAAGTTAAATGATGGTAAAGGCTGTACGAATTATTATGTTAAGAAGAGTGTTCTTCAATGGAAATGGTCACGTACTTTCACAGATCACAAACTGATAATTGGAAAACGTTAACTACTGCGACACACCGCTGTCCTTTACCATTGCTTGCATAGTGAAGACAACAACCGCTGAGGTCTCCGATACCCTGCGATGCCTAACCTACCCGATCAAGAGATTGCTGGTCTCGGATAAGATTTGTAGCTTTTTTGTCTTTTTTTTTAACTGGCTGCCTCAAGAAATAACTTACGTACCACATTTGACATCCCGTTTCCATTCCTTGTACCTTTTAGACAAGGGGTCTCGTATTTGCCATTTCACTTCATTTGGCTTAACACAGCAAGACGCGCCGTTGGTACGAATTGCAGCTTCCACAAACTCGTCCTTTACTTTGAAAAAGTCTCGCAAGCCCGTCTTGCCAGTGCAGTCCCTGCTCTCGCTCTTTTCGCTCCAAACTTTGTAGTAGTATACATTTTCTTTACAATAAAGAAAGTTTCGAGCCACCTCGATTTCTATGACATAAAGGTCAATTGAATTCTGCGTGCTCTTCACAGGGATGAAGTAGATATTGATACAATTTTGTTCCCCGCCTTTCTGAAGCGGCCTATCGTCGCTTTTTATGTGGTGGTCGAGAACATCTTGGAAGGCTTTATTGATATCGTCTTTGACATTCTCAACGTCAAGTCCAATAATTTCTCCATGTTGGAATTTCGAGCCTTGTTCTTGAGAGTCTCCCACTCCGAAATATATTATACCTTTCCTATCAGCATTTAAGCAGCCACAAATGAACTTTTTTGCCTTCTCCATTACTTTCCATCTGAGTGATCCAGGGCTGGCACCTGCTAGAGACTTAAATTCTACCTCTCTGTCTTCATGACCATCTAAAACAGAGCCTTGCTGATAGAAGAAATCTTCCTCTACTTTAGCTCCGAATTTCCTCCGTTTACCTGGACCAAAGAAGAAAAAGAATGGTAAGAGTTTAGCAATCATGTCTTGCATCATCTTTCTTCCAATAAATTCTCTTTACCGTCCAACGGGTATCTCGGGCAAAGCTTGCATTAGAGAGAAGTTAGAATCTACCCAAAGTTTGTTTTTATTCTCACAATACCTGGATGTCGATAACGCGGGCGAGCCACCGTGCCGAGAATCTGAAATGGATATTTTGGACGGAGAGCTCTCTTCATGCCTAACACAGTGAGCCATCGCTTTAAAGGTAAGGAGTTATTTTTTTCTTCCTGAGTCGGCCATAATCAAAAGATACACTTTAAACTACATAACAGCATCTACCATATTATCAGTTGTCACTCTATTCTCATTTGATAGTCAAGTTAGACTGTGGTCACGTCCTATATAGCGTGCAGTATTAATGTATTAATGAGCCCTTTTCCTCTTCTCGACCCATCAACGTTTGAAACATTCTGGAAGAAGACTGCAGAATTTCAGCCATGAAACTAGCTTCAAACATCCAAAGGCTGGCAGCAAATCATTTTTTTCAATTCTGTTTCCTGGGCCTACTCACATCTTTGGGCCATCTCCTCTGATCTTACAGCTGCGATTTCATCTGCGTTAGTTGTCTCTGTTGTTTCACCATGTTGTTGGATTGGCGGTAAATCGTCAATTTGTGGCATTGTTGAGTTCGAATCCACTGGTGCAGACGAAAAGGTAACAATAGCAGTATCTGCATAGTTGGTGCAAAGGCTCGATTCACCTGCACCTTTTTCGATTCTTGGGCTTAGTTTATCAGCAGATTGTGTTCTGGTTGTTGTTTCGATTTTCTCCAGCTTTGACTCCTCTAGCGTACTAAAACAATTTTCCTCTTCTGTTGGTAGTTTGTGTTCAAGAGAAATTCGAGATGAGTCTATCCCAAAACAGAGAAGAGAAATAATGTATCAAACGATGCTATAGAGTACAACCACAAATAAGGAGCGCAAAAAACGAATTTACCTTGTTATGAAAATACCATTACTGTTGTATAAAAAGAAATGTATAAATTATTCACAAAATATATCAATGAATAACTTCTATGCTAAAATCATATTAGTTTAAAATCACGTACCCTTCGAATGAGCTTTCTGGCTCTCCTGTCCTTTGAATCGGTTCACGCTGTCTTGAGAATCACATACCACATCGTTTAGTTGATGGTTTTCAGGGATACCGCCAGTGATTCCATTTGGATGACAATGGATATAAATACCATCTTTTTTGCTATCAAGCATGTTTTCTCCTTTTTCTTCTATTTTCAGCGTTGGTTTGCCTTTTTTGGAGTTCTTTTCATCTTCTAAAGGTCTCTTTGTTTCTTGATTCACAAAATCTATGAATGCAAACGAGGCCCTATTACTCGATCGCCCAAAGAGGACTAGCAGTATGAAGTCGAAATGTTACGATCCACTTCAGAAACAAACTAATCGTGAGATAAACAATGACACTAAATTCCCTGTGCTAGTGCCTGCACCACAATGAATAACCATAAAACTTTTGCAGTTATGTTTATTCATCGTGTTTTTGCTAGATGAAGTCTTTGACCTGAATGGGCCTCGTGCTCGAAGAGAACTATGCTGTACTTCAATTTACCTCATTTCAGTTTTGATAGTCTCTCGACATAGCTTCAGTGCATGTTGGTATCTAATAATTCATAACTTCTTCATCTTATCACCTGACTCACACCGTAACGCTACATTCAAACTCTTGTCAACCTCTTGCTTCAGGTTTCAGCCAGGAGCTCAACTTTAACTGATGCTTAAAACGATCCTGTTTGACTTTAATTACCTCTAGAATCCATACCTTGATCGGGTTCCTCAGTTGTAGGTAGTTGGTCCGGATTATCTTCAATTTCCATCGAAGAGCTGGCTGTTCTGAATAAATTCTTCACGTCTTCTTTGGTGCTCTGCTCTTCATTGCCACACATAACATACAAAGCAGTGTCATATGTTGTATTTTGGTGTTGATTTGTCCCTTCGCAAGAAACCAAATAAACACGTCAACCCAATAGTTACATTTCTTTCTCTTTTTACCGGCCTTGTTCTTTTAAGCAAGCGATATATATTGACTGGTAAATTGACTTATGTCTTTTGCAACGTTTTGCTAATGACACTGAAGTTCATCATGTATGATTCGTGTTAACTGTAGAAGCATTCAAGGCGTGCTTGCAAGTATGATGAATCCCTAGGGGCTACTAGGCTATTTAAGATTTTGTAAGTTATGCAAGAGCCACTCGAAGGCGTCTCCTTCAACTTTGCTTTTGTGTTTATTCACTACTGTATTTTCCTTATGACAATGTAACGCTCGTTGTATCCTGCATCAATAAACGAGATGCCCGTTCCTGATGCTGTGTTTGTGTTTATTAACATAAGTTACAAAATATTTTATAATCGTCTTAGTGTGATTAGAGTATAAGTTAACCTTTGTGTTACATTATCATATCGTGATCAGAAATGAACTTCCTTGCCAAACCGAAAATGTGTGATATACATTTAGGGCACATGAGACAGGCTGTTTTTACAGAATAAGTGCAGACTACTTAAGTAATTCAAAGCTGTATCACGAATAAAAGCCAGCCTAGAGAACATGTAGCCGCTTGGTCAAGTTACGCGCGGATACGCGACTACGCGCATACGCGGATCTTCAAAACGAAAGCCCATGAGGACAAGAGTGAAGCCACCGTCATGTTTATCAATGAAGTGGCACGTTTCCTTTTCAGGAATGGCTATTAATCAAGTACTTAGCGGGTAATCAAGAACTTAGCGGTCGATGAGTTAAGCTGTTAGTTTCAGTCTCAAGAAGCAGTTGTGCTTCATTAAAGGGCAAGTGAAATATTTCGTGGATAATCAACTGAAAGTTGATAAAAGATTGAAAAACCAGCCTAAAGAGACCGTTAGAAAGCTGACGTTTTAAGGTTAGCTTTTTGTTAGAGCATAGTCTTGGAAGCTGGCGGTCTTGTGCGCGCTTTGAAGAATTGAGCAGCGCAAGCGTAAAAACGAAAAGTTAAACTACCAGAGGGTTGGGGAGGAAAATAGTAGAGGAAACCTTTTACACTCGAAACTCTGCTGCTCTCTTTTGGGTCATAGCCGCCATAACTTTCTTCAAGAGCAAAAAGAAAAAAAAAACGTCAGCTACGCAGGCTATTGGATCATTTGGACCTCATCAACTGACTAAGACTCGCAGCATACAGTCTACATAGGAAGTGACTACATCGGAAGTGACTACATCGGAGATCAGCAAAAAACATTTCATAATCATTACGAAGTCAAAATCCTGTTTTTTAACAGTGCTTGCCCCAAGTTCTTTGTCGGTGGGTGTAGGTAGAGATAGCGTAAACGGTATTTGACATTTTGAGGCCTTTCTAGCGAGTATAGAAAATAGTTTTACAACTGTCCAAAAGCTCTTTCATGCTGGTTGTAATTTGCTTTAATTTATTACTAGTTTCTTTTATTTTTTTTCGAGGGTCTTATTTTCTACGTGTTTATCATCATTGCCAGAACCTTCGAGGACATCTACATTTAAAGTTTAAGCTTCGATAGAAATCCAAAAGCAAGAGCAAACCGTGTTATATCAAGCCAAAAGGTTGATAAAGTATGGTAGTATCTAATGAGTAAGAGTTCTTAATATCATAATTTTGACATCAGCTATCAGGTGCAGATGTCAAAATTATGTTATTAGTGCTGAGCAGTGGTAGTGGTATGAAAACACAATATATAATAAAAAATTCCTCGTCTAAGCTCATTTTTAGGCCGTGAAATACAAAAATAAAAACTGAAAAAAAACTTTAAAAAAGAAATATAATCGTTTGTCTCTCGATGTGGCCAGTTCAGATGTGGATCGAAGACCCCCGTCGATCGTGTCAGAGCACATCAACAACACCGGGCACCACCCGCTCTAGACCGAAGTAAAGGTTATTGACAGTGATCTCCACTTCTACACACGCACGGTAAAAGAAGCAATTCACTTTAAACTTCAATTTCACAACACCAACAGGGACAGTGGAATTGAAATCCCAGAAGTCTAGATGCCGACGATCAAAAAAACGCAACAGCAAGGAGCCGTGCGGCAGCGGACCACAGAGGGAAACTGATCAGAAAGATGCACCAATCACAGCCGTGGAATTCCATCTACTAACAGCTGAGCACCACTTACTCGACATCATCGCCAGAAGAAAACTGGAAGTGCGCAGTCGAAATATCGCGATCTACATCCGAAGTGACCACATTGTGAGACAAACGATTTTATTTCTCTTTTGAAGTGTTATTTACCACGATGAATATACACTACCTATTTTTCGAAAAAACATTTTGATACTTAAATTCATCTTTACCAGGCTATTTTTGAAACATTCTGTGGGAATAACACCCTCTAAAGAGTATCCAGAGAGTTCCACAATTTAGTAGCTTTCAAAAACATCCTATCATCAAAAAAAAGCTATTTTGAAATACCTTCCTTAAAGACTTCAAAACGCGCATCGGTCTTTGTGTTTTCGCACGTTTTCTGCTCCCCTGCATCCTGCTTGGATTTCAGCCACTGACTGGTTACAGGCTCTTCAGTATCATTGGAAGGACGGTCTTGAATAACAACTCCTTCTTCTATCATCAAAGTTTTTATGCTTAAATTCCTGTTCCCGTTCTGCACTTCGGAGATGTCATCTTTGTCTAGGGTTAATTTAGCACTCTTTTCTCGGTCCTCTGAAAAGACAGAATTATGCAGCCATGGTTGAGCCAGAAAAGCATCTAATTAACCTGATTGCAACCATTCTCTCTTTCTCCCCTAGAGCTAGAACCCAAAAAGCTATTCAATAGATAATTAAAGACTCAGGCCCAGTTCAGACGACGTACTTCTGCCGTGGCGAACTTAATTGCAATTAGGTTCGATTATAGCACGGCGGAACCACGGCTCTGATTCAGATGGAATTAAGTTCGGCACGGGTCTCATTTAACATTAGTTTACAGTTAATTTAAATTGGGAAACAGACTGTAACTTTAATTTCTCCATAAGAATAAAACAATGAAATCTGGTTCCAGTTTATGCCACTAAATGTTTCTAAGGTTAATCTTAAACTCACCACATCGGTGTATTTCAGGGCTCACAATCTTGCTTTCAGCCTTGACTCTTTTATTTAAGTTAGAAGTTGTATCTTTCAATTGCTCCTTTTCCACATTTAATGAATTATTTGGAAATTCGAAAGAAACGTCTAAAGTTGAATTTGATTCACCCAAAGAAGAGTATGTTTCACACATGTCCTTCTTGTCATCGTATGTTGATTCGCACTTGTAAAGTCTCGGAGAACTGTTGGTCCTGTTGATGAAAACCCGTTCCTCCCCTTTACCTGCAAGGTGTTGAATCTCATCTGTTGTGTTAAAACTCTTACTTTCCTCAGTTTGATTTCTTGAGGCACGTTTACTACCCCAAGACCCGTCTTTAGTATTAATTTTCACAGTGCTTCCACCAACGTTTTTGCTTTCCTTTTGGCTGTTGATTGACGTTGTTTCTGTTTGAGAACTAAAACATAAGCGCTTATCTTCTCACCTTTGTGCTTATGGTACTTCTCAAACCAGTTCCTGCTAAATTTGAATGCTTGACCGAAGGGTAAACCCAAATTCTAGAGAGATAAAAAAAAATTCAGAAAATTAGTACGTTCACATTTCTTATATTTTGAGAAACAGTATCTCTAAAGGACAAATAAAGTTTAAGCCACACCCTAATAAGTGTCCCGCAATAAATTCTTTATTATATAAAACAAATAGATTCCAAGTTGCTGTGCGTCTGTTCAGTAATAGATCACAGAGGACGTCAAAATGTGGTAAGAACATCAGTTCTTACCACATTTTGACGTCCTCTGTGATCTATTACTGAAAAGACGCACGGCGACTTGGAATCTATTTGTTAATTAGACAATCTAACTTAAGTGAGGAGGCTCCATAGGGTTTTTGCTCAATGTTGGCGCACGCGCCGGCGTATTGTTTTTTCTAGAAAGGGCGATGAGTAAGATTCGGATTATGGTTTGTTGTAGTTAATATTATTTTCAGTTTGCTATTAAGCTAAGGCTTCACGAATGGAGGCGCTCGCCAGTGAAAATTTGGCTTTCGGTGAAATCTCAAAATTTTCACAATTTTGGGAAATTTGTCCTGCCGAACATTTAAAATTAAATGAAAAATTTGAAAACCCTAGATTTTATCACATAAAACCTGTATTGTGTTAAACTGTTTTTAACACGCCTTTTCAGATAACGATCGTGCGGTCGTATCAAGGCGACATGTTTGTTTCGCATGTGGACACTTAAAGCTCACGCTATGCTCGCACCCAGATCTCGCGTGATCAAAAAACCCTATGAAGCCTCCTTAAAAAAGTTAAACAATGATGTCCTTACCAGAATGATAAATTCAAAGATATCAAACCTTCTTCAATATCTTTTGATCGAAGGGTTTCTGGTGTTTCTCCTTCCCATTATTTTTCCAGCCTCGCAGATGAAAACTTCCGCCACGAAGCGCCAGCCGCGCGGACAAAATTATAGCGAATTGGCCTGAACTCATCCTTACCCATCAAACTTCGGGTTTAAGACCGTAACACAGCTCGTAACACAACTCGCATTCTTCCGTGCACAATGAAATATCTCTATTTGCATACCTACGAATCGTTTATCCTTCCTAGCATTATTTTTATTTCGACACAGCTAGTACATATAACTAGTCTTCGCCCATTTCTTTACAAATCCTTATTCTAGAATACAATCATACCTCCACTAAAACATTTTTTAGCTCCTCCTCGGATTTCATGAGATTTAGCGTTTCATCCTGCGAGATGAGAATGGAAGAACAATTAATCAATCATCGTAGCTCTTTACAACACAATGTGGAAATCGAGCAAATACAGAGCTTGGATGAACATTTTAGGACAAGAAAACAGTGGGACAAGAGTCTTCAGGCAACGGAGCATTTCTACAAAAGATTCTTACAAAGGTTGATAAGCTTTATGGTGTATTTTTTAACTCTCCTACATATACATCTCTGAAGACAATTAATGCTTCTCTCTGTTCGTCTTTTATAATTAAATTAAATCGACTTTGTCTTTAGGTACTTCATTCTTTGCTTCGATCAATAGTTTTCAACGTTTGGATAATAGGAGACCACGTTTGCATTTGATTGTCAACTAGACGCTATTGAAGCGTAACCCGAGCTTGCTCGGGGATTTGGTGTGTAACAAGTAGGCGATTCTACACGCAAAGTCGTAATAACTAGTGTGCGTAGCTAGCGCTGACTTCGTTGAAGAGCACTTAAACAAGTTGCAAAGACGCAAGGGAAATGAAAACATAGATCACAAGGTGACTGCGTGACAAAAATAAAAGTCAAATCAAAATGAAATCTGTAAAACATGAAAACATCGTAAATAAGTTGCCAAATATGTGTAAAATATGGCCAAAACAGACAAGCGAAACAATCTTGAAAAAAGATAAAATTCCTTAAAAGGATCAAATCAAATGAAATCTTAAAACATGAAAACATCGTAAATAAGTTGCCAAATATGTGTAAAATATGGCCAAAACAGACAAGCGAAATAATCTTGAAAAAAGATAGAATTCCTTAAAAAGATCAAATCAAATGAAATCTTAAAACCTCAAAACATGGTAAACCAGTAGCCAAATATTTGTAACATATAGCCATATGGCAGCCAAATGGGTACGCAAAAATCAACTCACGCGGCGCTACAAATATCTATCAAAGACTTGAAAGCCTTTTTCTTTCCAATTGAGTGCATGACTTCTTACGCACATTTCCTCTTCTTTTGTAAGGCCTACACCGGTTTATTTTGATCAAGGAAGGAGTTAAAAGGAGGAAAAAACAACCAGATAATTCTAGCCCACGGCGACCGACACTATTTTGAATTATATTGAAAACTCCACGTAGTCAGGCTAAAATTTCTGCCTTTGTATCACCCCCAAGATATTTGAGAAGAAGCCAATGACATGATATTGGGGACAGAGCCAAACCAGGCGAACCTAACAGGGTAGGTGCACGAATCCAATCCTCAGTTTCCCGATTCTCTTCCTGGGAAAACAATGCAGATTTGGCGACCGCAAGATAAGACAGCTTGCATTTTTAGACTATAGCCGGTTCCTGCGGAAGCTCGAATAATAACTCGCTGGTCTGTGTCATGATGACACCTACAATTTTACAGCAATTAGAACGCTGCGTTCATTGGAGTCCTCGCAAGGCCCTCATTATCAGTGCCAGACCACTTGCAGACCTCTCGTCAGCTACTGTTGCTTACCCGCGGGCAAAGAATCGCTCGTGCTACAGTGCTAATAATTAAGGCTTCTTCCCGGGCTAAGGTCGTACAAATGACAAAATGAAATCAAAGAATGTAGAAGTGACTAAATATTCCATTCGAAAGCTCTTGTCATCTAGAGACGGTCGCTTTATCACCAGTTTGTTGATCGCTGCATTCATTTGTAGCTTGTTATAGTCTTTCAAACTTTCCCCGGAGGCGTGAACCTCTTTATGGGTATAACGACTGGATTCGGAGTGTGAATATTTACAGATCATTATTCATTTTTCAGTCATTAACTTTTAAAAGTAAGATAAATTCTAACACTCTCATACCTCGAGACAGTGCTTCTTAAAAAAAGGTTTCAAGAAGGCAAGCTTAATCTCCTCAAGGGCAGCACAGACTGTGTGATAATCAGGATCATCTGGGAATAATCAAATTGACACGTCTAATTACAAACTTAATTCTTTAATACTTTTTAATTAATTCACTTAATTTACTTAATTCTTTACTTACTTTTTCTTTTCCTCCCCTTTTCTTACCCACTTACTTGGAACTACGAAATGGCTGGATTAAAAGTGTCATATTTCTTTCAAGCCTTTTCGAATTTCGTTGATTTAGCTATGCAAGCTAAATAAGAGATTTTTAATTTAATAGTTTGTGACATTTAAAACATATACTGCCTTTTAAGTGTGTATGAATTAGGTTTGGTGCCAACTTAAATTTTTAGTGGTCAAGGGTTAATCATAAGCATGGAACCTCGACTTTTTCTTTTGCTTCATCAAAACTTAAAATGATAATGCATATCCGAAAAAAGCTTTCTAAAGCATACCTTAAAAAAACCTCTACTCCTTTAGTAATATGTCTGTATTTTACATCTGACGTTCTTTCTAATAACTACCCTCTTGTACCTTTATTTTACAAGTAAATTTTGTCACTTTGGTTTTAAGGGAGGTGCGCATTCATCCTTGGTCAAGTAGGTTTTTTTTATTGTTGCATGGGAGCCTTTACAACTCACGCCGATGAAAACATTTAAATTTTGAAATATTCGTGTGACTTTTCCTATCTGCATTATTCTTGTTGTATACGTTGCAACCTCTACTTTAAAAAGTATGGAAGATAAATTGTTAAATTTGAAATTGCCATGAATGCTAAAAGCACTTCATACATGTAGGATGCAGTTTTATCTCACTAATACTGATGCAATAATTATAACAATGCAATAGTATGTGGTACCTTAGAAAGATTCATCGCATACCTATTACCATTTTATCAAAAATATGATTAAAAGTTGCATCTATGCTATTCAAGTGTGTCAGAATCTATTTTTAAATTCATTTTTGGCTATAGAGAGGTTTTCACTCTGGAGACGGCCGAAAATAATTTCAAATGCATAGCAACGGCCACACAGAAAAAAAATTTAGCGTTCTCCACTTGGCGTGTATGATCCAATATGATCATGATAGCTACATAGCTTACCTGAATCTGGATCCATCGGCTCCTGCAAATTAATCAAACCTCTGAATTAGCACGAACATGAATTGTCATTATGAATACACTCTCTTCTCACATTACCTTCTGTTATATTTAGGTGCTTATCTTTGCTTAATACAAGTGTATAATCATTAAATATTGTTTTTAGATTCTCTATTATGTATTGCGTGACGTCATGTTTGTTTATGTTACCTTTAGAATCACGTGCGAACATACTTGAACTTTGGTCTCACGATTGTATGTGAAGCTTTGTCCAAGATCATCATACGAAGACGAAATATTTGTATCCAGTGCCCTCTCCCTTTTTAATTACATAGAGAATACTAAATGGATTCGTGTAGATATGGAATTTCTCTTCAAGTTCAATTTAACTAGATAGCTCACGAGTGAGATGGCGAGTTGAACACAAGAAGAAAAGTTTCATATCTACAAGCAACCATGTATTATTTTGTTTATTATATAAACACCATGGCCCTTTACTGACAAGAAAAGTCGACTTTGTTAACGAATGAAAATGAAAGAATAGACAATCCGAATGAAGATTGTAAAGGGCGTTGGCGCACTCAAGATGAAAAAATGCGTTGAGTCACTACAAAAACAAACAATGGGCCTAATTTTCATTAAACAAAATTCTCAGTTAATGAATTGGTCCTCATCGACAGAAGAAATCTGTCAGGTACACGGCCAAAATCGGCCTGTTTAAATTACGTCCCGCGAAATATTTGAACGACTTAGCCGTAGAATCGTCCCTGGAAGCGCTGATGAAATGAAAAGTTGTGGAAGGATTGAAAGAAATCGGAAAGCGACGGGATGAATTGTTGGAATTACAGGAGCATCCCTAAAACTTGTGTAAAGAAAACGACGAATTCCGATTCCTAAATTTTCGGGCGACAAGATGAAATATCTGACGTGGTGGGCAGCGTTTTTAAGTTGCGTTGATGAAACTTCTTTGTCACCGCATTTTAAAATGCTACGGCTGGAGAGTTGCGTGGAAGGTGAGGTGGCAGATACGGTGAAAGGATTACAGAATTCAGAGGCGGCTTCCCAAGCAACAAGAGCGAGATTAAATCGAAAATACGGAGGATATAAGCGACAGATTCAGAAATTGACGGGTATAAGGGGCATCACCACCGTGTACTTCACCAGAAGAAAAGTTCACCAGAAGAAAAGTTCACCAGATGTCATGGAGGAGAGCTCTGACGTACCTCATGTCCATGGGAATGGGTCCAGTACGTACGTATCAAAAAGTAAAAGAACATGAGCAGCAAAGAAGTTCCCTCCGCACCGTTCTGGTTATCCTGAAACATGAGGCCAAGCGCTTGCACGTCAATTACTTTTAGATGAAGGAAGTAGTGATACTACTTACGTCAATGAAGATGTGGTGGAAGAAAAAGTGACCATTAAAGTTGCAAATGATCAAAAGAGTATATCTTATGTCGACTATAATAGAGATTGGATTGGAGAGTTAAGACAGTCAAATGGACACTACTATTGTTGCGTAGACATCGCACAATATTTGTGGATGAATGAAACCTATCAACTGGCTTCAGTTAAAAGATCAGTGGAAAGAAACGTTCCCTTTCCAACACGTGGAAAGAGGAGTAAAATCGACTTCCTAATCGGCTCCGACCACAACAACCTGCTGTTTCTAGTGAGGGAAGTTCGTGGAGGTGACGGCGAGCCCATTGCCAGACTTTGTCCACGAGGATGGACAGCTATAAGCACCATTGACGTGTGTGAGCGACACGATGCATGTAATACAGGATTCTTCTCCGCATTTCGTATGCAGACGTCAGATAGCAATGGATGAGGACTTAACGACCGAATGAAACAATTCTGGAGCCTGGAGGCTACTAACAACACGTCCCAAGTGAATCGACGGCTGACCTCAGACGGGAAGCTAGCCTTTAACAAAGTCAAAGAATCTATAAGATTCACTGGAGAAAGATACGAAGTTGTGGTGTCGTGGAAACATGACAGACTAAATTTGCCATCACATCGGCCTACGACTGAAAAGCTTCTTCGCTCAGTT